GAATTGCTGCAGCTTCACCTTTTGCCTGACATGCAGCTGGCCTGGTAATACAGAGCCATGTTCTACTAGACTCCTCATTGCTTCCTCCTGTTATGGGCACATGCCATGACCCTTTTTCTGATTCCTGAAACAGAGGTTGAAACATAACGTCCTTACTGAATGCACGGAAGAACTCTAGTCCTCTAAAGAGGTTTGAAGTTAAATACCAAATTTGACCAAAACACAATGTTGAATGAAAACAATCTATCAAAACATTTCAGGATTATATTACCACATTTTTCAGAGCCTTCTTTGACACCTGCATTTGTCCCACTAAATAGGCAGATTTTTGGGATATCAAATGCAAGGATTTAAAATGGATATCAGGGTATGATTATACGGCTTAAGTTTAGGTTCCACTTCCCAATGTTATAAGAAAAGTACGTGTAAGTTTCAGGGGAAGAATGAAAAGTTAACTAAGTTAATTTAAGGAGTTTTTGTAATCTATCCAAAAAGGAGAACAGGAGTAACCATAAGTAACAGGAAATATGGAAGGAGAAAATAAATTATTTGCAGAGGAGATTCTTTTCCATTTCTAACAGTCTGGTCCCAGAAATAAACAGTCAGACAATTAGGGTCCAACCATCAAGTAGAAAATGCCACAAAATGAAACTAAAAATATAGATCATACCTGAATGACAAGAGAATATGGGGGTGGCATCTGAAGTTTAAGAGACCCTTTCAGGAATGTATATCGAGCCTGCAAAAAAGCCAAAAAGATAAGCCAATTGATGAAAACTAAATAGTTATTTGACAGTAATCATAAAATGTCAGGCACAATACCTAGCCAAACTCAACTTAAATGTGATGTTGCAACGTTCAATGTTACAATTAGAACATGCAACTATCATCCATATGAGGCATTTAAAAAAAATCAACAAGAAATCCAAACCAATACATGGTGATAATATAAGACATAAGATGCCAATTCTTGGCAAATGCATTTTTAATATATTGAGAAAAGGGAAGATTAATGATAACAAGTTCTTCAGTGGACACAGACCTGATGTCTTTCTTCCCACTTGAGAAAGAAATTGCTTCCAAGGAGCTCAAAAATGTGATCCCGCATTTCATCATTTGTCACAAGCAGGCATCTGAGTCTTACAGCTGCATAAAGCCAATACCTGAAATATATGAGAACATTTCAGTCCATGCTCAACGTATTAGTTGATAATATTAAAAATGATTGATGCTCCAATACCACTAAAGAAAATGATCCTCTAAAACATGATTATCATTCATCTAATGTTATGAAATCAAAATGAAAGCTGTTTCAGAGGTTTATACCAATCATCATTAGAACCATGTGGAGTTGTATAAAGAATGCCATTATTCGTCCACTCTTGGAACAGCTTTCTGTAGGAAGGATTTTCCTGGATAGCTCTTAAGCATTTATTATGCAGGATGACAAGTGGCCATTTATTCCCACTTCTGCTATACATTTCTTTCACAACAGCATCAAG